TGGGGAGGTATCTCCTTTCCCAGGGAAAGTGTCTTTCAGCCTGGGGGACTGGACCTCCTCAAGCCACGGGAGCAGGAGCCAGGAAAAGCCCGTAAGCCCAGCTTGAAGAGGACATGGCAGGACCGAAGAGGAGGCAGCACTGCTCCCTGTTAGCAGCAGGGCCTCCCATAGCTCAGTGGCAGTGCGCACACTTCGCACTAGGACAGTCCCCAGTTCAAGCCCAGCATCTTCCCTGCACTGCAGGGCAGGACGTGTTCCGGTGGGGCAAAGCTCCAGGACCAGGTGTCAGGGTGGCTGTCAGGAAGCACCTCCTGACGGTTAGGACCCCTAGGACACGGAATGGGCTTCCATGGGAGGTGGTGGAGGCCCCGTCGGTGAGGGCGTTCAAGGAAAGATTGGGCAAACACATGCTAGGTATTACATGAGCAGAGCCGGCTGGAGCCGGGGGTCAGGCTGGGTGGCCTGGGAGCTCCCCTGTGACTCGCTTAGTTTCCATGTTTCTATCTTCAAGCTACGGCTAGAAGAGCCTTCTCCCACATGAAACCTGTGGCCCATCTGGGTGACAGTGGCGAGGCAAACCGAGGCTCTCGCTTGGCATGAGGCAGCTCTGTAATACTCTGACCAGCACCGACAGGCTGGAACTGTGTGTGCACATGCGTCCCTCATCACCCCGATTCTGTAACTGGGACGAGCAAGAGAAACCCACAAGAACATGCTGCAGCCTGCCTCTGCTCCTGCTACAGGCGCTAGCCAGGCCGGCCGGCCGGCCAGTCTGCTTTAAGGATGCGCTGTTCCACCCCACCCAGGCATTCTGCATTCTGAATGGCCACTGCACATGCTCAAGCCTCGGCGGGCCGCATGTGCAGGGGGACTGGGGGTCCCCCACCAAAAGACGGGTCTTTTATGCCGCTTAAAAAATGGGGTTTTCCCATGGGTACCAACCCTTCCCTCTTGCTTCTCAGTAGCCCCAATTTGGAGGAGCAACTCAGCACCTGATGAGTTTATCTTCATTATTAGCATACGTGATCATTGAGCAAAACAGACAAATTTGCACAGCCAGTTCAAACCGATCTCTAGGTGCATGCACAACAGATGTGCTAGCACATCCTGGGTTGCACACTCACCACTGCTGACAACTAGCAACATAAGCAGGAGCCCCCTCCCCACTCCCGTTGCTGCTGAGCAATGGCGACTGAGCAGCAAACTCCACCTCCGCTCCGGTTTCTCCCTCCGCCTCCGGACATGCAGCAGCAGTTCATTTCTCTGGTGCGGTGGCCTCCTATCCACACCCAGGTAGCCTGTCAGGGGCAACGGCAGCCTGCATTCAGGTCACACTTCCAGGATGTTCAAGAGACCACTCAAGTTTAATGCGACACCAAGCACCTCAAGAGAGGTGTTGCCCCATGTGAAGCGAGCTTTAAAAAGAACACAGAGCAAGGACGACATACAGTGATGTGCAAAGGTGCAGCAAAGAGCATTATCATTCCCCTGTTTCACAGGTAGGAGTGGAAGGTAAAGGTCAAGGAAACAGCTTGTCCAGGCCACCAATGAACTCATGGCTAAGGCAAACTCCGAACCCGGGCCGTGGCTCACGCTCAGCTCCTTTCACCACCAGTCATGGGGCCATGACATTTATGAGGTTCCAATTTGTTCCTATTCCCAGGCGCTTGTCCGGGGTGGGACTACTCACCTTCAAAGTCCCTGAGTTATGGAGAAACATTTTTTTCCCTAGGTATCTGCAGCGGCTGACACCTTCGTGCCAAGAAGGTCCCAGGAGGGAAGAAAGAGGCAGTGGATCCTCCCGGAACATTAAGCACCCCCCTCTCCTCCTCCCCGTCCCCAAGATTCAGAGCAGACGTCACTGAGCCTCTCTGCAGCGTGAGGAGGTGAGACCCGGCAGCTGGCAACAGGTTGAAGCAACACGTCTGATGAAGCGGCTTCAGAGCCACAGGAAGTGTGGGGAACAAGACTTTCTGACAAATTAGCTTTGCTAACACTAGAATCTGCCTTAATTCAATTTTGGGAGCCAAATATACCTCCTCCATTTCATAGAGGCTGTTATCTGAAGCTGCAGAGTATCAAATTACAGAGTACTTTTGCTGGAAGTACCCATTTGCAGCCAATTTCGGGCCCTCTGCTCTTTTATGTCCCGTTACCAAGTAGTATTTACTGCTGTGCTGCCTTGGTTAAAGAAGCGCAAACAAGAACAGAGGGGCTGGAGGTGCAGCTCTGGAGGACACTGATTCCTGTCTCAGCAGCACACCCACTTGGGGCCCCTTGTGCCCAGAACATCAAGGAGAACCAGGAACTGGTCTGTCTCACAGCCTCCCCGTTTCACATACTGACAGCGGCCGGGCAATGGAAGCAACGCACGTGCACCCAAGACACGGAATGGGCTTCCACCAAATTGGGTGAGACCCCACCCGCCCTTTCCTCAGCTCGCCCTGCTGAGCCCTAAAGACCGGGGCAATCTGGGAGGTCTTCCGCACTGCCCAGAAGTCCTGCGGTGGTGAAACTGGGAAAAGTTTATTTTATACTGTATTTTTGTATTTTTAATTTAATGTTTATATTTTTGATTTATATTATAATTATTTTAACTTATTGTTGTAAGCCGCCCCGAGGCTTCGGCGAATGGGGCGGCATAAAAATGTTTTAATTAATTAATTAATTAATTAATGCCTGAAGAAAAGGCATCAAGGTCGAGCCTCTCCTTGCCGATGAGCCCAATGGACAGGTGTGGCGCTGGGCAGGCACCCCAGCGCGTCTTGGAGACCCGAGAGACAAGACAGGCTCTAGCAGGAGAGAACATGGTCCCTGGCCCACCTGAAAGGGCTGGCAGTTTCCAGAGGCCAGTGCGCTGTACCCACCCACCAGAGATGGAAGCCCGAATGTGCTGGCAAAATGTGCAGCCCTGAGGAGAGCAGACGGAGGGGGTCATGGCATCCCTCTAAGTCCCTCAAAGGCTGCCACAAGGAGGAAGGCCAGGATCTTTTCTCACTGATAGCAGAGTGCAGGGCATGGAATAATCAGCTCAAGCTGCAGCAACCCAGGTTCAGGCTGGCCATCAGGAAAAGCTTCCTCGCTGTCAGAGCAATGCAGCAGTGGAAGCAGCTGCCTGGAGAGGTGGGGGGCGCTCCCACACCGGAGGGATTCAAGGCGGAACTGGGCGGCCACCTGAGTGGGACGGTGCAACTTGAGGGGGAGTGGACTCAATGGCCTCCGTGGCCCCTTCCAGCTCTTCTGCTCTGTGATGCCACGACCCCTGCGGCATGGCCCGAGGGAGGGGAGAGCAGGCTGCGTGTGCCTTCAGGGGGAGGCCTCCCACCTCCGCTGCTGCACCACCCATTTTTGGCAGCTCAGGGCCTGCAAAAAGGGTCAGAGAGGGAGTGTGTGGCGCACACATTGCCCACCCATGTCAGGTCTTCGTGGATTCCAACTGGCGCATTGACTCGTGCGTAGAACGGAGGGAGACCCAGCGCGTGACCCTGAGCCTCAGCACAGCATGCTCCCAGTGTCCCTTCCCCATTGCGAGGTTGGCCAGCCCATTCCGCACCGGCTCAGGTTCCGGGGGAGTTTCCGAGATGAAGCAAGGAAGAGGACGCCCTGCTCTGTACTCAGCCTCTTCTTGACAGCACTCCTGGTTTTGGCGAGGAACAGCAGGTAATTGTTTAGGAAGGGGCTCTGCCGGCCTGTGCCCTCCTTGCCGTGCTGCCCCAGCTCGCATCTGACCAAGCGTGGGATGTGCAAAGTCTGGACTGAGAAAACGACTTCTTTTGACCTTCCTGAGATGCTCCTATGGATAAGGAGCACAAACACTCTGAATTTCGCTGCGGGCAAAACTCTGCGTTAGCACAGTGCCTCTGCCAAAGCATTCACCTTTTGCCCCCACTCTCGAGCACCTTGCCCATCTGATCTTATTTATATATCACAGGATGCCTTTTAGAGCGCAGCTCTCACCAGGTGGCATAGATTAAACATGAGATTCATAAAGGCGCAGTAAAATAATCAGAGCAGACTGCAGCACCCCATTCCAGAGAGCGGCTTGTGAGGAAGGCCTAAATCATGGCAAAAAGATTCATATCAAACACTCGGGATAGAACGGGCTGGGTTGAAAAGGCCTTCTCTCTTTTGCCGGCCAACGAGCCTTACTGGTGGGTAAATGTGATTTTGAAGATCTTAGCCTACACAGAGAGGATTGTGTGGCTGAAGGCCATTCGACCTGTTCAGAGCAGGAAAAGGGAAAGCCATCACTTCAAATGGGCTTAGAAATGCACTGGCAACCAGTGTGACTGGTGAAAGTTGGTGCCAACATTTGGATGGCTGCATTTTGCATTAAGAGACCTCGGGAACCTCACCAGTTCTCTGCGAGGCTGCAAAAATGGAGGCCAACGGGCACAACAGGACCCCTGCCAACTCCCAAAGAACCCTCAGGTGTCATGGTCTGGCGCTTTTGTAACTTCCACTGCCCCAAGGAACCTGAAGTGCTCCTTCTGACACCACAAGCTAAGCCAGTTGTTCACCTCGACAGCCCTCCTTTCCCTGGCTGGCCCAAATCCCCAGATGGGCAAGACAGAGGAAAAGTCCACTTGGACCTTTAAACCCCTGGGTTTCTTGCCCAGAGTGTCAAAGTCCCTCGGGATCCCACCCACCCTGAGCTGGGCTATGTCGTGCGTGCACACATGGATCACCAGGAGCGGCTGGTGACCCCCCGAGGGAAGGAGACGCTCTACTCCATCTGTCACATGCTGGACGCATGTGCCTGGCAGGCAACAGACCTCCCTCGCCCCGAGATCAGGGTGGCACACGGCCACCTCAGTGCCCCTCAGCAGGGCACTAGATGACCGTGTCTTGACCCTTGCCTCTCCTGCAGCGGCCCCCTGGCCACAACTGGTCTCAGGTGTAGATCCTGGACAGGTCAGTCCCCCAGGTCCTCATCAGCCCCTGCCTCCCCAAGCAGAGGACACCTGTTTCCCAGCTCCAGGTTCACGCCTCACGCATACCTTCATGTGCTGCTAAAACACCAGGGATCCTCTGTGAGCTGGACACAGGGGTGTTTTCCGGAAGGAGGTGAGAGATGGCTTCCAGGGGGACATGTGTCTGCAGGGTGCACTGCAGGTGAGTGCTGCCCATCATTGCCATGTACTGGTTTCCTGAAGAAAGGGGAGAAGAGCCCACTTAAAGATTGTGACAGAGATAAAAGAGAGCTGGTTCATCCCAGTTCAGAGAAAGCCAACAGCCTCTCCTGGGATTCAGAAACATCACATTCAAAACAACAAACTGGCTGGGGAAAGGCCTCATGAAGCACAAGAAATCCCAATTCCATACAATGAAACCCCAGTGACCTATAATGCAAAAGGAAGAACTTCACTCCCCTGACAAGAGGACAAACATGGAGAATCTGGCATGTTTCCAAAGGAGAGAACTGTTGGACCCCAGGTGAAAACCTGCTTTCCCCACCTGGTAAACCAACTTTCTTTGTGGACCAGGCAGCAGCCCATCTTCCAGGTGCAAAGCTTTTTGCATGCACTCCTGAATGAGGTCTCTGGACTTAGGCATCGCCAGTCTCAGGAAAGCTGCAAATGCGCTCCGAGCAGAGCCTGGCTCTGCCTGCGAAGGGATAAGCAGATGGCTGCCTCTCTTCTGACAGAAAAGCCACCCCCCCCACCCCGATCTCCAGGGTGTTTGCCAGCGTATCTCCTGAAGCCTCTCTTGATGGGCCAAAATTCCAAGCCTTAAGATACATTCCTGTGCATGTTTAGACAAGAGAAGGCCTGCAAAAGTAGACTCTGCCATTCAGGAGGTTATCAGAGTGTGGGTTTGCTCAACGATTCCCTGCCAAAGCTGTAAGATCCACAGAGCTCCCCCAGCTGGGACTATTACACATGTGGGCACTAAAATCTCTGGAAAAGGCAGGTTTGCCCACCCAAGGCAGACTTCTCATAAACTCCACGAATCATGAGCAGATCTACATCTATTCCACAATTCCACACAAACACCCAAAGGCTGCAGGACCTAGTACTGGGACCCATTCAGTATCCCAAAGAATCTGCATGATTAAGAAGCAAGTTTCTAGTCCTTAGGTTGTGAGTAGGTTTTCAAGTGTGCAGGTCATTGTGTTTCTCAGCCGTGGGCTAAAGGGTTGAGGGATCCCAAGGAATGGCTAACGCTAGATCCAGGTTTGCTTCCAAGGAGACTTGCTTGTTGCAAGCAGCATATTACCAGCAAGTTTTTGCAAAGGGTGAAGCAGCAAGTCCCTTACAATGCCTGCAGGGCATGCTTCAAACAGTCGGAATAGATGGTCAGCAACCACCACCCCCTTCAGGATGTTGGTGTCCAGCCAATGCACAAAGGAAAATGGCAGCTTATATATGTTAACCAAGAGAAAAGGGGCAGCTGCTGAACAGGTGTTGTGCTCTAGGTGGCATGGAACTACTTGCTTACCTCATTAGCAAGCCAAAATGTAAACTATACGCAGCTTCCCACCAAGGTGCTCTACAACACACAACGTTTCCCATCCTCATCAACATGAGACAAGACAGAACAGTGGAGAGTTCCCATCCTGCCTGCCAAGATATTCCCCCTCCAAGTGCCAAAATGAGAGGAGGCAGTATCATAAGCTCATTAAGCTAATCATACAGCTAAGGATAAGCTTGTTAGCTGGTCCGATAAGGTGGGATCCCAGGCAGTACACGGCTGCGTGCCTGTCCTTTGCCCATCTTTCTCCGGGCCAGAAAACAATACATGCAATTCCAGTTAATTAAGTGCAATGGGGAAGCTTGAGTGCAGCACTTTCCTCATGCTAAGGAAGGCCTATACTTTCAGAGGCAGAGACCAAGACCTGGATTTTACAGCGACAGCCCAATACCGCCACGTAGATGACACCTCTGAAGTCAGGCGTGGCTCAGCATTTGGAATTATCATACTATTTGGAATTTTCTTAAGGCCAGTGCATCATAAAACCATAGGGCTAGAGGGACCTTCAGGCCTGCACCAGTGGTCTCTGTCTCCCTCTCCTTGCCCCCAAACAGTCTTACTTCTCCCTCAGTGTGCCCAGTCTCATCTTCATCTTCTAAACAGTTGGCCAGTTTGCCCTGAGGATGGTGCCCGCAGAAAATGCCCAACTTGAAAAAGTGCTATCTTGCCTAATTGCCACCAGCGAGGACCCCCGTCCCTCCCAAAGGGGTTCAGTTCATATCCTGGACCGCACAAAGCGACTGTCCAGAATTCACCAAGCAGTTGAAAAAGGTTGCCACAGCTTCATGCTGCATCACATAACAATCAGCGGAGAGAGAAGAGGAACTGAGCAGAAAATATACAAATAGTGCATGATATCTAACAGCTTTCAGGGACCAGTCTGCCTGAAGACCAAGATCAAGACCTCCTTTCTGGTCTTCTAAGGCAAACTTTTAATCTAAATTAAAAGGGGGAATGCTACTTCCCTCTTACACCTGGCAAGGCTGATTTTTAGAATGCATTGAACATACATGCCAGCTGCTCTTAGAGATGCTTGTGTAATGAGTTGGAGCATGAGTTCTTGATCAGGGTGTGTCTCCTAATCAGAATGAGGCAATCCCAGGACAGTGATTCATGCAGGGAGGCAACAGGCAGCTGTGTCTGAAGGTGGCCATTTCTCTCTCTGTGTCTGTGTCAGAAACTCCTGAAAGCTTAATTTGCTCCTCATGCAGAGGCGGGGCAGAACTGCCCATCCCAGGGGAGACCGTCTGGAAGGGGAGAAGGCCAGAGCATGGAACAGGCAGCCTCTCCTGCAGACGGGTGCTGCAGCAGTTCCTGATCTGAGAACAGGAAGGAGAAGTGGCAAACTCTGACGGCCTGTCCCCAGGCCCCCTCTCTTCCCAAACCACATGTCCCTTTCGTCCACCTCTCTAAACCAGCACTCTATCCTTCCACCAAATTTCTGGAATCTATGGCCTTTTGTTTGCAAGGAATACAGCAAGTCCAGCCAAAGAGAAGCAACTTACTCTCGATAGGCTCCTGGAGCAGCGGGTGCAAGAGTGCCCGTGGGGTCCCATGATAGAGGCTGAGCCTGCAAGAGAGCGGGGCAGGTCATGATCACTCAGGTTCAGAAAGGTGTGGCACCAAACTGCTTCAAGATACTTCTGGTCTCCCAGACTTTCCTAACTTCCTGCAATTCCTCCTCAGCCCCTCTCATCTTCCATCTCCTCTCCTTTCCCCTTGCTCCTTCCTAGGAACAGTATTAGGATTATTCTTGGTGTGAAAACTCCCTTCGGCCCCCCATGACACCTGTGCAGGCCCCACAGTCACTATGTCTGGGCTGGAAAGCTCAGGCCGGCACCTCCACCAGTTGCCCCGCAGCAGCGAGGCCTGCTGTTTGCTGGCGGGGGGCGGGGAGGGGGCAGCGCTGGCAATGCGGTTCGTTCCGCAGTTCAGGGCTGGAAACTGCCTTGGGCTCCTTAGCAAAAGGGCAATGTAGAAATGTGTGAAATAGGCAATGAAAAAAATCACCCCTGTAGGGTGATGTATGGAGTGCACAGAATCAAGGGGCACAGAAGCATCTTCTGCTACATATTCCAACCCAACCCGATGCCCAGATATTCTAGAAAGGCACTTTTCTGACATGCTTTCGAAGAAAAAGCTCCTGGCAGGGAGGAGCAGGGCCTTTTCCATGGTGGCACCCTCTTTGTGGAAATAATGCCGGACTCACTCCCCAAGACTTCTGGCTGGAAAAGGCTGCTATAACCTCTTGGGCCGCCCTACCCAAGAGGCTGTCCAAGGCAAGTCTCTTTCCCAGCCCAACTGTTTAAGATTCCTGACGCTGGTTGTGCTGGAATTGGAACTCGGCTCTTCCACAGACAAAGCCTGTGCTCAGCCACCCTTTGCGGCCAAAATGCCCGTGAGGACCCCTGGCCGATTTCTCTGTGCCCAGGCTGCTTCCAAACATCATGTGCCTACCCTGTGCCCCTCGGAGCCAGACTGGCTGGCTCAGATTTGCTGTTAAATAAACGGAGTATCCCAAAGCCGCACGACAGATGCTGGATGGTCCCGTCCCGTCTCCTGGCAGCAGCCACGACCTCGACCACCAAGACGATGCTGGGATAATCCAAAGAGGTGTGAAAATAAACAGCCTGCAGAGGGAAAAGCAAGAGTTTGGTCAACGTGCCGGACATCACGCTGCGCTCCAGGGAGGCTGAGACAGTCCGTAGCAGCAGTGTGCATGTCCCCTGGTCTCCCGCATGGTCAGAACCATGGAAAAGTGCTGGGGAGCCTGGGGCGGGGGCATGATCAGGGACCTCCTGGGAGCCCCCAGCAGCCCTCTGAGGCAGCCGGGCTACTCCTCCCCACCCTCGGAACCCAGGGAGCATTGGGGGGTGGGAGGAGGAGGAGCAGGCCCCCCCTTCTTCTGGGCTTTCCGCTTGCCAGGCAAGCCAGGGGGAGCCAAGGAAGAAGGTGTGGCATGGCTGTGTGACCTATTTCAGCCTTATTCCGCCCAGATCTGGCTCCAGTGGAGCAGATGGCCAAGCAACATGGTGGGGAAATGGCCACTGGTTTGTGCACACCAAGCCAGGCACCAAGCCAGACCCAGTCCTGCAACCTGAGGGTCAGAAACAGGCACTTCCTCCTGACCGGGGCAGGTCGAATTCTCAAATGGCCACTGATGCAAGAACAGGGGAGTAGCGTCTGCCTCAGAAGCGGCCATGCTGATGGTGCCTGCAGCGTTCTGCTTGCCGGCAAGGAGTGCAGGGCGTGAAGGCGCCCGGCCCTTCCCAGCCAGTGCAGCCGCTGGGCTTGGCGTCTGGCAGCGAGCGCTGGCAAGCCCTCCTTGCCTCACCATTGGTGGGAGCAGGTCTCTCAGCGCTTTCCCCAGGATCCAGGCTTGTGGGGAGGGGTGCGTCCCCCGCCCGCTGCACCACATGCATGCAGAGTCCCACGCCTTGTTCCCGCTGTGCTGGCTGAAGTGCTTAGAAGGCAGGGCAGAGCTGCCAGGCCTCCCTGAGGGGCCACAGCGGCACAGGGCCAGCACACAAGGACTCTCTGGCCTCGCCTGACCCACGCCTGAGGCGTGCTGGTGTCCTTCACCAGCACATCACTCATCAAGGTATCATTTGCCAGATCGACCACTGCATGACCTCACTGCTCAGGTGCCCACACTGGGGCTTCGGTCACTGGAGATGATCTGGACCCTCAGTGGGCGAGAGGCAGGCTGCGTTGCATGAGCACCCTGCAGAAGCGGCACGACAGGTGCTCCGCTCCTTTGCCCTCCGTAAATAGGGCATTTCTCCTTCCTCCAGGGAATTTCTTCCACACTTTTACATGCTCTGAACAGCTCCCGCCACGTGCACATTCCTGACGGGCATCCAGCTTTTTGGCAATGATGAAAATGAGGAGTTTACCTGCCTTTCAAACAAAGCACATTTTAAAATGGGTGTTTTATGTTCTCTATTTCTGTCCTGCCCATTGGCCAAAACTCTCTCAAAAGTTTGCAAAACAGACAGGCTCAGCTACTGGGTAGTATAGAAATTAAATTATTAAGAAGAAACTAAAAAACACAGAAGTATGGAAATATGGGAGAATGTCAGGATCATTTATTAGATTATTATTCCACCTTTTTTCTTTTTAAATAATTCAGAGCTGCTAACATCATTCTCCTCCTCCTTTTCCCAATCTTATCCCCACAACAACAACCCTGTGAGGTAGGCTGGGCTAAGAGCCTGTAAATAGCTCAGTCACCCAGTTGGCCCCATGGGTGAACAGGGACTAGAACCCAAATTGCCTGAGTCCCAGACCGGTGCTTTTAACCAATACACCACACTGGCTCTCAGATGTTTGATAGGCTTAGATATCACCTATCAACAGAATTAATTTTTGATAGCATAGAATTTTGTCAGCATCTGAAGGAGATCTGAGTGTTTCCAGAATGACATAGTGGCCATGGGATTTCCTGCCACACCATGGTGCTAACGAGATAGGATTGCAGTGGAAAGATTATCAGACATGACCTACAGAGAGTTTTTGACTAGGACTCACGTGTCTTACCCTGAGCTTGAGCCTATATTATCCTCTCAGGCTCCAGGTCATGTTTCTCCAAACAGGTGATGCTCCTGCCCTTGACCTGAAATGTGTTTGTTTTACACTTCAATGCAAACTGAAGGTGCAATCCAATACATGTTTAGACAGAAGAAACGCCTACAATTCCCAGCATGCTCCAGCTCACTAGGCTGGCTGGGCCACGTGGAGGACTGTGGGCTCTGTTCTGTTTGAATATGCGCAGAATTATGCCTTTACCCAATTGCACAGTCCTGAACCTAAAACTGCATCGAAACTCAGTTATCCTTCAATACCTGCATTTCTCCAAAGGTTGCAATGGAATAATCCAATCAAAAAGTGTTTGTTTGTTTGGGTATTTCTAACCCATCCAATCACTACACATCTCTGGATGGCTTACAACAATTATCCATTAAATACAGCACAATAAATTATCAAAATAATAACTTAATAATAATAATAATTAACAACTACCACCACCACCTACAACTGCAATAAAACCATAATTAAAAATTTTAACTTTAAAATACTGGGTAAATAAAAAGGTCTTGACAGGTGCCAGAAAGCATATAAAGTAGACACAGAAAGCATCAGTATTCAGAGAAGGCATGCACCAAAATGTGTATATTTGGGCATTCTTTTATGCACAACTGCAGGCAAAGATGAAGGTACAGAGAGAAATTTGTGAATTGCATACAAATTTTTGTGTGAATGCTGAAAAAACAGAACAAGATGATGTGGAAATGGAATGAACCAAGACCGAAAAATGAGTAATTAGGAGATAATAAAATTAGCAGGTTTGTTCACCCCTAGCCAACAGCTCTTGCGACTGGCCAGCAGTATTGACCAACCCTGGCATAAGCATTTAGGCAGTGTGCACAATCCTCTCCTCTGTGCTTGATCCACCCAACAGTCCTGTAGGGGAAGTTAGGCCGAGAGTCTGCCACGGGTCCAAAGTCGCCTGGTGAGCTCCATGGCTGAGCAGGTCTGGCGCTGAGTCCGAGCCCAGATCTCTCCAGTTCGAGTCCAGTATTCCCACTACTATTTTATTTATTATTTATGTATTTATTTATTAGGATATTTCCAACCCATCCAATAAAAAATGTCTCTGGACAGCTTACAGAGTAATAAATATCCAATAAATAATAACAAGATAAATCAATAACCAAGATGAAATGTGACTGAGGATAAATACGATCTGAATTAAAAGTTTTGAAACTTTAAAATATTGGGTGAATAAAAAGGTTTTAACCTGGCGCCAAAAAGCATATAATGTTGGCGCCAGGCAAACCTCCCTGGGGAGCACATTCCACTGCCGGGCACCACGGCAGAGAAGACCCTCCGCCAGGTGTTCACTCTCCCAACATCCTTCAAGGAGGGCTCCCGGAGAAGGGCCTCTGCTGCAGATCTCAGGGGATGGGAGGGCATATGGGGAAAAAGACGTTCCTTCAGGTATCCTTGTCCCAAGCCGTTGAGGGCTTTATAGGTCAATACCAGAACCCTGAATTGGGCCCGGACTTCAATGGAAAACCAATGTAACTGATAAAAGACCGGTGTTTTATGAGAATAACGACCGACCCCCAACAGCAATCTGGCAGCTCTGTTTTGCACCAATTGAAGTATCCAGACCATCTTCCAGGGCAGCCACACGTAGAGTGCATTACAATAGTCCAACTGGGAAGTTAACAGAGCATGTGTCACCATTGCTAGGCAGTACCGATTGCCTGGGGAAGTTGTGGGCTCTCCCTTGCCAGAAACAGGCCAAAAGCATCTGGACAGTCCTCTGAACAGGATGGTGCAACTCAGTGCCCTACAAGAGCAGGGGGTTGGACTCAATGGCCTTCTGGCCCCTTTCCACTCTATTCTACGATTCTACAATTCTTTGGTTCTATAAAAATTGATGCAATTAAATTAAATTAAATTAAATTATTAAATTAAATTAAATCCAAACTGCACATATAGGCAGATGGGATTTTAGCTGGCAGTGTTGCGTGGCCACCAGCCTCCCTTCCCCATCTAGCATCACTGGATCTCTCTCTATTATGAGCCTTTCCATTGTTTTTCCTACAATGGACGTAAGGCTAACTGTTCTGTAATTCCCCATGTCCCGTCTACTAGCCTTTTTGAAAATTGGGACCACTGACGCCACCCTCCAGTCCTCTGGAACGTCACCCGTTCTCCACGAGGCCTCAAAAATGGAGGCCAGAGGGCATGAGAGAACCCCTGCCAACTCTCTAAGTACTCTCGGGTGTAACCTGTCAGGGCCTGACGCCTTTGCAATATGCAATGCCCTGAGGAGCCCCTCGACTTCTAGGGGGTTGACTCTAAGTCCTCGGCCTCATCTAATCTCCTATGCGGATATCCCCCGTCCTGCTTTGGGGAGAACATAGAGGCAAAATAGTCATTTAGCATCTGTGCCTGTTCCCTCGCATCAGTATATCAGGCATAATTAGGAAAGCAACAGCAAAATAAAACCACCAGTGTCTTGCTCCCCTTTTATAAATCTGTAGCGTGACCACAACTTGCACCGTGTTGGAAACTGTCCCTAAAACAAAAATGATGGCCAAAATGATCTGGGGGCTGCAGCAGCTCCCCTGTGAGGAAGGACTGCAGCAACTGAGCCGGTTCAGCTTAGAACTAAAGTGGGGAAGGCCAGGCGTGAAAGGGGCGCACAAAACAATGCCTGGTGTGTGGGAAGTGGATAAAGAGCCACTTTCCCCCCTCCTCATTACACTAAACCCCAAAGGGGTCATCCCAGGAAGCTGGTTGGTGGGAGAGTCAGGACAGATAACATGAAGTCCTCCTTCACACAGCCCAGAGCTGAACGAGGGTCATGGGGGCCACCAATGTGGATGGGGCAGGTTCATGGAGGAGAAGGCTACCATGGCCACTGGCCTGGATGGCCCCACAGCATCTCCTGTGGCAGAAGTGGACTGCCCACATGCCCCAGCTGTGGGGAGCATGGGAGGGAGGGGCCCCTTGCACTCCTCCCCTGCTTGTGGGTTCCACATGAGCTTCGCGTGGCCACAGTGTGGACAAAATGCTGGACAAGGAGGATCCTGGGTCTGAGCCGGGGGGCTCC